TTTCTTCTTGTCCCTCTTAGCGAAGAAGTTGTCCAGGCTCCGTTCCTCAGTCTCGGCCATGGCCGCGGCCTCCTCGGCCCGGATGGGTGGGGCCGGCGGCGGGCGCGGCCCGCAGGACTCCGAGCTCGGGGTCGAGGCCGGCTCTGCGCTCACGCTCCCGGGCGCGGCGACGTCTCAGCCTCGCGGGGTCGCCGGGGCGAGTGCGGCGGGGCGGACGGCTCCCCCCGCGTGCTGGCGGGCGGTGGTACGGCCCGCCTCGGAAATCGCGCGCCGCTGCCGGCGCCCGAGCCTACCGCAGCTGTTACTGCTGCTGGAGCGACCGCGGTGCTGGATCCCGCCAGCTCCACAGCCGAAGGGGAAAAGGAACGCGCGGACCAGAGGCTCAAACGAAAGCACTCTGCTAGCTGCGGCGCGTGCGGGAGGAAGACGCGCGCGCGCAGACTGGGAGAGGAGGGGAAAGGGGGTGGGGAGGGGAGGGAGGGGGAGGAGGGAGGGCGGGCTAACAGAAGAGAGAGGTAGTGCCCGCGCCTGCGGCCTTAGCTCCGCCCGCTGCTGTGAGAGCGCGGAGGAGCGGCGGCGGGAGGAGACGGAGGCGGGGCTGGATGAAGAGCCAATCAGGTACCAAGACGAAGCGCTTAGGTGACAATCCCTGCCTCAGAAGGGAAGAGGAGGGTATATGCAAAACCAATGACGTGTATGATGATTCAGGCCTCCTGACTGGCCGAGGGTTTAGCATTTAGGGCGGGTATTTAAGTGGGCTGGTTGGTGACTTGGCTAAAGAGGTCCGACTGGAGGGGTGGGTGGGTCTCGTTAAGGCGCATGCGTAAAATACACGTGTGTCTCCTCTCCCTGATAACTGTGGCCTAATAATCGTTTGAACTTTCGCTAAACGGAAAAGCTATGTTAAACCAGCTATGTTAAAGATTGTTCTTCCTGCTTTGCTTGCTGAACTTCCTTGGTATGGCAACTATTTCCATTTAGGAGATAATTATTATGAAAGAGGAACAATGGGTTTGAAGTTTAGGTACCATGTACTAAAACATCTTTAATAAGCCAGTAGGTAGATGGAAGCTGATAGCTCCACTGTCACTCAGACTAAGGTCAAGTAAGTCTGACCCTCAAGTTCCTCAGGTGTAAACGGCGATCCTAGATCTTGCTCGATTTAGGGACAGAGTGCACCTGTTAACTGCCCAGCACAATGGAGAGAGAGATTTATTTTTAAAATAAATTTACATAGTAGTTGCCTCTGCCCTGGCTTGAGTCTGGATGATGATTACAGTTTATCTTTAATTTCTATCCCCGATAGAAGGACAGCGTGGCTTATGTGGGAACCGAAATGCCCAAGCTAGCCTGCTTTTACCGTATAAGTAGCCTTGGGCATAGAGTATGAGAGGAATCTTTGTGTATTAAAAGGTGGTCAAATGTAAGGTGTTAAACTTTCCACTTCTAAGAACTGAGAAGAGGGCTGTCACAAACACTGAGGAAATGACTTAGACACATAGATGGGGTGGATAGAACCCAACCAGTAAATGGAGTGGCTTGTCATTTCTTTAACAGTTTCTTTGTTAAAAGTTGTCTTTTCCTCACCCTACCCCCATTGCTATTAAAGAAGTAAGTCCTGAGAATGTCAAATAAATAAACCTCGCCTGACCAATGAATGACAAGCTTACATATTATTCCCGAAATATAAACTTCCAGCTATACATGATGACATCTCTCTAATGAGTCCCTAGGTAATCTGTGACACCATATATCTTCCTCTGATGCAGATCAAATTCACTAGCACTGTGTAGCATTATCCTCCCTTGATATCTCTCATCACATTTGCTTTTTTCTTTCCCCATTTGTGAAGCACCTATTTAGCTATATATAAGGCAACATGCCTTATTCAAAATTGAGTAATTTGTGATTCTTTCCTTCAATTCTCTTACAATCTAGAAGAGAAGATTTAGATAACAAACAACTGGAATGCAGTCCTCCCTTTCTTAGGTCTCCATCAACACGTCAGTGGTTTGAAGGAATTAAAGACCTTGAAGGAATTAATGGATGGCACATAAACCCTATTTTTGTTGTGTCATTCTTCTCCATGAAGCTCCTTCCTTCTTGAATCTTCTGCCCTGAAACCAACTGCGTCCTATCTCCATTAGGTTCTCCTCTTAAATGTCCCCTGCCACCCTCTCCCAGGTCTACACAGAGCCCTGAATCCTACATCACCCTCACCCCCCACCATCACCCCACTCCCATCTCTGAAGCATCATCCTTCAGCCCTCTGTTGATAAAGACGTCTTCCCCTTTAACCCTCTGTGGTGTTCAGTCCTTCCCCATCTTTAAAGCAAAACAGACCTTGTGATACTGCCTCGGAAACCCAAGGAGAGGTCGCTATGAGTCGGGTCCAACTCGAGGGCACATAACAACAACAACATTGTCCTTGTTAGAATCCATCACAAAGCAGACAAAATAGAAAAGTTGAATAGTGGTGAGGACCCAGACCATTTCCAGGTATTTCAGCCCTTCTTAGAAGGCTGCTAATGGTGTCTGAACATGAAAATTTTTTTCTGGTCCTTCTGGAGTGGTACAATACAAAAACATTGCATTTTCCTCAGCAAAACCCTGCTGAACTCCAATATTCCATGAGCGTGAGAGCTGGCAAAGTGAATCTGGGTCCTGTCCATTGTCCCTTGGTTCTTTTCTGCTGAGCTATTTGTTCCAAGTTCCATTCTGCCACCTAGGCTGAAAATTCCACTCATGCTCAGCTCAAAGGAATGCTGCTCATGCTGGCCAAACAGAACTTGCCAGGAAATGGGCGGCTAGAATCCTTCTTTTCTTTTGTGGCTTCCTCTCTAACATCTGTGAGGCAGGCTATACTACTGCCAGGACTGTCCCACTGACCTTTCCCAACTAGGGAGCAACTATTTACAGGTCACCTCTTCTGAGGAGCCTCTTCTGACTTTTCCTACAAGAAGCTTGGTTTCCTGACCTCGAAACGCCCAGAGTCTTTGTCCAGTTTGTATTTGATGCCTTTCTGTTACTGCCATAATTTGGTTGCTGTTTATCCATTTTCACACACAAAAACATCATTTAATGAGCACACACTGCATACCAGGAGTCCTGGGATGGCACAAATGGTTAAGGACTCAGCTATTCACCAAAAGTTGGCAGTTCAAATCCACTCACAGGTGCCTCGGAAAAAAGGCTTGAGTGGTAGTCTACTTCTGAAACATGCCAGCCATTGGAAATCCTAAAAAGCACACTTCTACCCTGAAACACATGGGGTCACCAGGAGTTGGAATATCTTTGACAATAACTGGTTTGTTGTTTACTATATACCAGGCCCTATATTAGGAGTATGGAGCTCTGATGGCATAATGGTTAAGGCATTTGGCTGCAGACCAGAAGGTTGGTAGTTCAAACCTACCAGCTGCTCCATGGGAGGAAGATGAGGTAATCTACTTCAGTAAAGATTTACAGCCTTGGAAACCCAGTGGGGGTCACTATGAGTAGGAATCAACTCATTGGCAGTAGGGTTTTACATTAGGAGTAAAAGGAGCTTTGGTGGCACAGGGGTTAGAGCATTCAGCTGTAAACCAAAAGGTTGGTAGTTTGAACCTGCCAGCTGCTCCATGGGAGAAAGGTGGGGCAGTCTGCTCCCATAAACATTTACAACCTTGGAAACCCTATGGGGCAGTTCTACTCTGTCCTATACGGTCACTATGAGTTGGAATCAATTCAGTGGCTGTGGGTGTGGTGATTTTGTTTTGTTTCGGTATGTTAGGAGTTAAGGATATAAAGATAACCAAGTCAGATATAGGTCCTACCCTTACACAGCTTACTGGTAGCTGGAAGCAAACACATAAGTATACACACAATCATAGCACATCGAAACTCTTGAAGATAGGAATGGTGTTGGGCATACAGCCTGTAGCACACAGGAGTTGGAGTTTGACTGATGTTTGTAAAATATAAAATATCTCCACTAACTGTAGTTCCCAACTTTCCATGTTAATCAGGAGGATGCACAAACCATGGACTATCTCAAATTGTTCCTAGTTGGTTTCTGAGCACATTCTAACTCTGTCACATATAACTAAACTTCCTGCTCAACCTCAACTCCCTCCTTAGCTTATGCCTGACATTAACACCCTAGTTGAAGGATGAATGGACCAGGGTTGCTTCCAGAAAAGTAGCTGAGGGCATGGATGCCAGGCTTACTGCCCATACTCACGCAGACATGCACACACATACACTCACCACCAAGCAGTGGAAATGGAAATCAGACTCATTAAATTCACCCCTGGCAAATCTGGTTGGCCATTAGTTGAACCATATGAGGTTGCCACTAGCTGACTGTTTCACCTACCAACACTAGGAATTTCATATGGTTCAAGCTAATACTTTTGGAAAGAAACAAAAAATATTTCTTAAGTAACTAAAGAGCTTGGGAACAACAAATCCATCCATCAAGGTGACCTCCCTGACGTAGTCTCAGGTAGGCAGGGCTGGAATGTGATGGCAATTAATGATCAGCAATCTAATTGATTGAATTCTATGGAGTACAGGTGAAAGGTACAGTGACTCTGTGGAATCCTTCCATCTTCTTTTGATGTTTCCTGCATCATTCATTATTTTGCCCATAGAATCTTTCAGTATTGCACGTCAAAGCTTGAATTTTTTTCTTCAGTTCTTTCAAGCTTGAGAAATGCCAAGCATGTTCTTCCCTTTTGGTTTTCTAATTCCAGGTCTTTGCACATTTCATTATAGTACTTTACTTTGTCTTCTCGAGCAGGCCTTTGAAACCTTCTGTTCAGCTCTTTTGTTTTATTATTTCTTCCATTCACTTTAGCTGCTCTATGTTCAAGAGCAAGTTTCAGAGTCTCTTCTGACATCCATTTTGGTCTTTTCTTCCTTTCCTGCCTTTTTAATGGTTTTTTCATGTATGGTGTCTTTGACGTCATCCCTCAGCTTGCCTGGTCATCACTCATTAGTGTTCAATGCGTCAAATTTATTCTCAAGATAAAAAAACAAAACAAAACAAAACTCACTGCCATCGAGTTGGATCCAAC